AAACTAGCATGACAATGTTGCTGTACAATAAGGGAGATCCCGACGATATTGGCAACTATCGCCTAACCTGCCTGCTGTCTGAAATATATAAGCTTTTCAAGCGCTTCATCCTGAACAGGATTGGTGGAATATTAAATGAAGGACAAGCAGGGCTTCGGAGAGGGCTCAGTACAATCGATCATATTCACACTCTTACAAAACTCATTGATGTATCACGAGAGTACAAAATGCCGTTATGTCTTACGTTTATCGACTTGAAGAAAGCCTTTGACACCGTTGAGACAGAAGCGGTAATTGAAACCTTGGGCAACAATGTGTTCCAACTCAATATACAGTAGCGCTCAAAAGTATTCGGCGAAATGCTTTTTCTGTTGATTTTTTCTAGTAACTTCTTTCCTACTGGATCTGATCATGAGAAATTCCAACATGAGTAGCATGGATATATTGTGAATATTTATCACCATTAACCTGCAACCTGATCATGTTCCAGATATCCCAAAGGGCTTGAACTCAAAATCAACCGGAAATACGAATGATGACCTTCTGAAATTTCTTTCCTTTCTGCCATGTCTTAAGTTTACGAGCGCTAATGCCGAACACAGTAGAGAAAAAAAACACATAAGGGTGAGTAACTGCAGACGTCACTAACTTCGCTCAAGCAAAGTCTGCTACCGCAAAAAACACCCTGCTCTCACTTGTTTTGCTATCAAGCAGGGTTGGATGGCATGAAATATGCTCTAGTTAAACTTATCAAAATTTCGCGCGACTCACTCTCCCAAGAACAAAGTTATGAACGAAAAAACGTGAAAGCGTTTGACCGAATACTTTTGAGCACTACTGTATAGGATGCTTCGTGAGCTCTACGACAATTTCATGACAAGGTTTCACCATTCTACAAGGAAGTTGTAATCAAGCGAAGAGAGGTGCCCGCCAGGGTTATACCATTGCCGCCCGAACCTTTTAGTGCCACTCTCGAGAATATCGTGTGTCATAAGGAATGCGAAGGCATGGGTGTGAAGATCGACGACCGCTGATTACATCTTCTCCGCTTTGCAGAGGAAATTGTTCTCATGACACCGGACATCGAGTAGGCGGAACGAAGGCTGGTCGAGCTTGACAGTGTTTGTGACGAGATTGGCTTACAACTGAACACAACGGAAACGATAATTATGAGAAACGGAGTGGTTCCTGTTGCTCCGATAATTGGAACAAATATCCCTGAATGCCCTAGCTGCGTGTATCTAGGTTGGGAAGTCAAAGTGATGAACGACCTAGCTCCGGAGCTGAGCAGAAGGAAACTCACTGCCTAGGGAGCACTTGAGAATATCGAAGGAGCAGTGAAGAAGACCAAAAACATCTGGCTCCGCGCTCATATTTTCAACACTGCTGCCTTTCCTGTTTTGACATACGGCTCGGGATCTCGGACTCTACGAAAGCAGTATGAACACATTGCTCTCAGCATTACTAAACGTGTTTGGAAAGAGCCCAGAATCACCCTACAAACGCAAGTGCAGAAGGAAATTCGGAGCTTCGAGCTCCGTCATCGAACGAAGGTAATGGATGCTGTTCATTACGCAAGAAATCGAAGATCAAGTAGGCCGGACATGTTATGCGATATAGTGGTGATCGCTGGAACAGGGCGGTTACTGACTGGATCCTCAGGGACGTCAAACGAACACCAGGAAGGCCGCCAACGAAATGGTCAGACTTCTTCTTGAAAGCTCTGGACGAACGGAATGTTGAACCTCGTGTCCCTGAAGCGAGAACGGTTCACTGGACCACTCTGCCTCTCACGTGGACGAATAGAGACGC